AATTACTCAGAGGTTGAGGAGCTGGAGAACAAAATCACTAAGCTATGCGGGGAGAATTCAGTTGGTATCCTCAGTTATTACTGGTACATTACAGTATTGGCTAAATCTGTTCTTATTGCCTCAGTATGTGATCAAAGAAGTGGAGAAATGTTGTAATGAGTTTCTTTGGAATTCTGGAGAGGATGGCACAAGGAAGAAGGTTGTAATGGCTTGGGAATTGTTGGCAAAACCGAAACTGGAAGGTGGATTGGGTATAAGGAATTTTGGAATTTGGAATAAAGCATGTGTTTTAAGGCATGTTTGGGACATATTAACAAATGGAGGCTCTCTCTGGGTTGCATGGGTATCTAGATATCGGTTGAAACAGCAGAGCATTTGGGATGTTGTCCCTAGTTCTGCAGGGATGTGGATCTGGAGAAGAATTTTGAAGTGCAGGAGTTTAGCTGCACAGTTTATTTCTGGGACAGCTCCTGATGTGTTGTGGCAGGGAGAAAAGATGGCTAGGTACTCAGTTACTAGAGTTTGGCAGTCTATTAGGCAGCATGATCCTGAACTGCCTTGGACAAAGCTGATTTGGGGGAAAGAGATAATCCCTCGACATGGTTTTATAGTGTGGCTTGCTATGCATGATAGGTTGATAACTCAGGACAAGCTATTGAGATGGGGAAAGATGGTTTCTGGTCTTTGTTTATTATGTCCAGGTGGTAGTGAGAATAGAATCCATTTACTGAGCCAATGCTCGTATACTGTTTTTGTGTTGAAGAAATGTTTGAGCTTGTATGCCCCGCCCTCTTTTTTGCAGTGGGAGCATATGGTTGACTGGTGTGTGCAGAATTGGGGAGGGAAACTCTGTTAAGGCAAAAATTTGTCGTCTGTTTTGGTGTATTGGACTCAGCTGGGTTTGGCGTGAACGTTGCTCACGTTTGTATGGTGAAAGACCTGCTAAGTCACCATTGGAGTTGATTAGAGTTGTGCGAGGTGAGGTCATAGGCAGGGTAGCTGGTGATCCGGAAATCCAGAGGTTTCTTGTGTTCCTTGATGAAGTAAATGAAGTAGATAGATAGAAGTTTTTTCTTCTTTTGTTTTAGAAGCTATACAGCTCTGTTTTTGTACTTGACAGTTTTGTGAGGCTTTTTTTGGCCTGAGCTTAATGAAATTTTAGATTCCCATCTAAAAAAATATATTTTTAACTGACTAAATTTTTTTGAGGTTTGCAATAGCGATCTTAATTGATCTTCAAACTAAAATATATTGATAGTGCTTGAGATGGTCGTCTTTGCAATTTACTCTATGAGATAAGCAATAGCAAATCTCGATTGATAGAGTCAAGTTGATGTTTAAAGCATTCACTCAGCTTGGATTAGTGAGGTTTCGATTTCCATGTTTTGGTGTGGTTAAACGAATTAACCAATTGATTAATCCCATTTTCATGAGTTGTTTAAGACCAATAACAATTAAATTGGATGTTGGAGCTGGAGTTGAGCCTCTAGTTGAGTTGAGAACAATAAAATATGAGGAGAAGGTTAAACAGAAATTACCCTTAACATAAGTTTTGATTACTAAACAACAATTATAACTATGATTAGTAATCAATTAAACAAAGATTACAAATTTTATTACAAGGGATCAAAGCCTAAGCCCAAGTCAACTCAGTCCAGCCCCAGTCAACAAAGTCAAACCGGTCAGAAAATAGGTCTGACCAAACCCATATCGTTCCTAACCAACTCAAACCGGTCCAACCCGACACTGTTCCAAACTTGGGGAACAAGTTGACTCTCCTATAAAAAACACTCCACTCTTCTGAATAAGGGGGGGGAGAACTCTTCTTCTTCTTCCTTTCCCCTACCTCGATCTGCTTCTTCTCGACCAAAAAAGAGGAAAGCTTACTCTTTTCCTTCTTCTTCTTCTGGCTTTTCTTACCACTTCTTCTTCATCTTCCTCTTCCATGCACTCCCCTTCTTCGCAAAACAAACAGAAAAGAGCAACTCAAACCAACTGAAAAATGATAATAATACGAACACAAATACGAGAGAGACGAGATACAGATTTACGTGGTTTCCTTGATGAGGATCGTGAAGACTAGTCCACGGCACAAGGCAGAGATTGATCTTATTCACTGTGTTCTTACGTAGGTCAGCCATCACAACATATATATATATACACGGCCAACCTACAACCCTAACTCCATCTTACGTCACTTAATTGTACAATTAAAAATTGGTACCTACACTTCTAACACTCTCCCTCAAATTGATATAGCTGACGCAACATCAATTTGTGTGCTAGGAACTAGTGACGAGGAGTAGACACTGGCTTAGTCAACATATCAGCAGTCTGGTCTTCGTAAGTGATGTAAGTGAGATCCACAATTCCTTCAGCTACGAGCTGACGAATATAATGAACGTGCACTTCAATATGCTTTGTCCTGTCGTGTAACACCGGATTAGTTGCAATACGAATTGCACTTGTATTGTCAACAAACAGCCGAACTGGACCCTAACAAATAACTCCAAGCTCTGCCAATAACCTACGTAGCCAAACAATTTCAGATGATACTTCGCTCATGGACTGGTATTCAGCTTCAGTAGATGACTTGGATACCCGAGCCTGTTTCTTACACCGCCAAGAGATAAATTAATTATCAATCTTAATGCACCATCCAGAGGTAGAACGACGAGTGTCTTGGCAACCCGCATAGTCAGCATCTGAATAAGCTTCAAGGATTGGCTCCCCTTCAGTCGGAAATAATAGTCCGACCTCCTGAGTACCACGCAAGTATCGCAGAATCCTCTAAACAGCCATCCAGTGCGGTTTGCGTGGAGCCGACATGAATTGACTCACAACCTGTACAGAATACGATATATCAGGTCTAGTATGTGTCAGATAGATAAGACTTCCCACAATAATCCGATATAGTGAACCATCCGGTAGTAATTCACCCTCTAACTGCTGTAGTTTAAGATTCTGCTCCATGGGTGTATTGCAGGCGAGACAATCATCCATCTGAGCTTCCTCAATTAAATCTACGATATACTTTCTTTGGCCAACATGTAGACCTTCAAGAGAACGATGAATTTCCAATCCAAGGAAGTAAGAAAGATCCCCAAGTTCTTTGAGATTAAATGCTAAGCGCAGGACCATTAATAAGCCTTCAATACCAACACTATCATCACCAGTCACCACCATATCGTCCACATAGATCAGAAGTACCGTAAGACCTCTACTAGTTGACCGAAGAAAGAGTGATGGATCATTCTCACTCCGCACGAGATCAGCTTTGACAATGGTGGCCTGAAACTTCTCAAACCATGCTCTGGGAGCTTGTTTTACGCCATACAAAGAACGACGTAGATGACAAACCATACTATTGCCACCCCGTGTATAGCCCGGTGGACGTTCCATATAGATGATTTCCTTTAAATCTCCATGTAAGAATGCATTTTTCACATCTAACTGTAATAACTGTCATTTCTTCATTGCTGCCACCGCTAATAGACCCCGTACCGTCTGCATTTTTGCCACTGGTGCAAAGGTTTCTTCATAATCAACCCCGTACTCTTGTCGAAACCCTTGAGCTACCAATCTTGCCTTTTCTCGTTCCACCGTACCCTCAGGCAACATCTTAAGTGTATATACCCACTTGCAACCGATAACAGGCATGTCAGGTTTGCTCTCTACTAGGTCCCACATATGTGATGCTTCGAGAGCATCCTTCTCGACATCCATGGCCCGTTCCCACCGCTCAATTCCTTTAGCTTGTTTGTATGTCGCTGGCACATATACAGAAGAGGTTGAATAAGCTAGGAAATCATTATGACGAGCCGGTGGTTTACCTCTGGTAACACGAGTGGATCGTCGTAGAACTGGCTCCTCAACTGCTTCGGCCAGCTCAAAGGGAATGAGAGAGAGAGAGATGTGCTAGGAGTCGACGTTGACCTTGAGGAAGAGGACGGAGAAGATGTTGCTGAGGTGGCCAGTGATTTTGATGAGGACGGGAAACCATCATTGCCCGGGGAAGAGACAGATGAGTGGGTTCTGGGAGAAGATTCTGCGGAGGGGGAATGGGGTGGATCATCACCTGGGGCATTTGGTGTTGTTGCCGCTGCATTTCAAATATCAAGAGGCCACGGATCAACCAAGAAGTCAAGTTCTGAACACGTCAGATAGGTGCTCGATGGCCCGTAATATGATTGATGTTCGAGAAACTTGACATGACATGATATTCGAACTCGTCTTTTGGCAACATCATAGCAGACATAGCCTTTGTGCTTATCGCTATAACCGATAAACACACATTTAACTGCTTTAGGAGTAAGCTTAGTTCGCTCTCGCCGAGATACCAGCACATAGCATATGCACCCAAAAACACGCAACCATCCATAATTAGGTATACGCGAGTAAAGAGCTTGATACGGACTTCGCTGCTGTAGAGTTGTGGTGATTTGCCAATTGATCAAATAGACCACCGTATGAACGGCTTCAACCCAAAATCCTGATGGTGCCTGCGAATGAATTAATATCGCTCGGGTAAGCTCAAGAACGTAACGATGCTTTCGCTCCACCAGTCCATTCTGTTGAGAGACGCCAGGACAAGATAGTTGTTGTAAGATGCCACGTTCTTGGAAGAGATCCATGAGTGAATTTGAGGAGAATTATTCTCCGGATCGGATCGTAAGATTTTAATCATCTTACCAAATTGAGTTGACACCATCTGCATAAATTCTCGAGTTACTGTCAACAGTTCTGACTTCTGCCGTAAGAAGTACACCCAGGTAAACCCGGTAGCTTGATCAACAAACAATGCGAAATAACGGAAACCCAGTCTCGATTTCACTGGTGAAGGCCCCCACAAATCAGTGTGAACAAACTCAAAAGGTTCAATATAAACCGTATCACTAGCAGTAAACGACTTCTGCGAAATCTTAGCTTGTAAACAATGAACACACTCATGTGAATTATTCCCAGAAATAGATCCCGATAACCAATGATTTTGAAACATAGTACGAAGTCTTGCAGAATTGGGATGACCTAGTCTAAAATGCCACAAATCCCAGTTTGATATTCAGCCGAAAAAACAGAACATGAAATAACATTATTACATGAAATCCCAGTTTGATCAACAAAGGTCTTCACACTAACTTCAGTAGCTCGGCCCAACCCAGAACTGCCATCGGCCTCCCCTCCGATCTTCGAGATGCTGTCCAACATATAAACCCGACCCTGCTTACTCCCCCGCCCGATCTCCACTCCCATTTTCTTGTCCCGCACAACACAACCAGCCTCATCAAACATAACCCGGCACCTATCTTCAGCCAATTGTCCCACCGAGACCAGGTTGGGAACTAGCTTAAGAACGTATAATGTATTAGGGAGAGAAATATTAGCTGAACCACACAACCAGACCCATTAACTTGCATACGAGACCCATCAGCAGCTTGTAAATTGAAGGTCGGATTCGAAGAACTAAGCTCGGAAAATAGACGACGATCACTGGTCATGTGGTTATAAGCTGCCGAGTCTAAATGCCAAGTACGAGATAGAGAAGAATGCATACCCGAAGCAAAGGCCTCCTTCAACGCCTCCTGAACTAGCTTGCAGACATCCTCCGGAGACATGCCAGGCGAAGGAGCTTCCGTGACGGCGGTCGCATAGGCGCCACCAGCAGGTCGGGAACGAGGACCACCACGATAATGTGAATTCCCTGCAGCATTGCGATTTTGGCCCCGTTGTGCTAATGTTGGGCAGTCTGCGATAAGGTGACCGTCAAGTTTACAATAGTTGCAATTATTCTGTTTCTTATAGTGAAATTGAATGTGACCCGGCTCCTTACAGAAGTGAAAGATGATCACACCCGATGTAGTACGAGCAAACTGAGGACGACCTTGACGAACAGCAAATGCCGCACCGGGATCAGAAGCATGAATGTCAAGCTTAGCTTGACTCTTCAATCTAGTTTCCTCGCGCAGAAGCTCTGGTAAGACACCCTCAATGGTAGATATATTACAATGAAGGAGGGATGCACAAATCCCCTCGAACTCAGCCCGGAGATTCATTAGAAAGTGCATCACCCGTGAGCAAGCTCTCTCTTGGAGAACGTCCGATGTTGCAGCGGCAGAGACCAGAGAACTCGTGATCAGGTCATGCTCTGTCCATAGTGTCATTGCCTCCTGATAATATGAACCAATATCCAGCTCCTCTTGTTTCAGCGCCGCCAAATCAAATTCAATGTCATATTTGCGAGAAGCACTCGCCTTCGAGTATAAATCCGCCATATGTTTCCATATTGCGGCAGCTGTAGGGAGACTACGCAAGCTAAGAGCAATGTCGGGTTCCATCGACCCCAGCAACAGAGACATCACCGTAGCATTGTTGGCGGCCCAATCCTCCCGCTTCTTAGCAGTGGCATCGGCCGTGGGTGGAGGAGTAGTCCCGTCCAGAAACGAGAACATGCGACGCCCTTGCACATGGAGCCTGAATTGAAACTCCCAAAGTGCATAGTTCTTCCCGTTAAAACGAACCCCCACAACATCCGATTTAAAACCCTCCATGAACGCCGAACCAGACCTCCCAACTACAAGGACAAGCACACGCAGTGACAAATACGCAGCAATGGAAGCAACGAACACAGGAAGCAACTTCTCAGCAACCAACGCGCAGCAACAGAAGAACAATCCCCGAAAAGAAAGACACAGCCAAAGGGGGATACCTAAAATTCCCAGTCGCGCTGAAATTCCCAGTAGCGCGCACTGCACAATAGGCGGCCACTCGACAAAAGCTAAACGTAAACAAACACACGAAGCCGTGAAACCCAAAACTTCAAACTTGATCAAACTTCAAACTTGATCAAGAATCCTGAGGATCTGATACCATGATAATAATACGAACACTAATACGAGAGAGACGAGACACCGATTTACGTGGTTTCCTTGACAAGGATCGTCAAAACTAGTCCACGGCACAAGGCAGAGATCGATCTTATTCACTGTGTTCTTACATAGGTCAGCCATCACAACATATATATATACACGGCCAACCTACAACCCTAACTCCATCTTACGTCACTTATTTGTGCAATTACAAATTGGTACCTACACTTCTAACAAAAAATACACACAGAAACACGAAAAGAACATTATCTACTTCTCCCTTTCTTTTTCTTAACCACGTAAACACAAACTCTATCCAAAACTATAGCTTTAATCATCAGACACTTAATTCCAGATTACTAAGTTTCACCTAAATATGTATAGATAACCAAATTACTTCACAAACACAGTCAATTTCACTAAACACATCATTTTCATTTCACAATAACAAAACCCATTTTTAAGACTTCCTTCTTAGTTCGAGTCAAGAATATCACCCATTTCCTTAGAGAAAAACCCTGCCAAAAGATGCAAATCCGATCAGAATCGAAATCTCAAACCAAATTATATCTTCTCTTACCCTCCACTTCTCGGTCATAGGCAAATTGAGATTTATGAAAACCATATACCTACCTTACGCTTGCCTATCCCTTGCCATAGAAGTCAACGCCGATTGATGTGGGATGGTGGCGATATCTCTCTTCTCCCGCCGCGACGGTCGCCGGCCAGCCACACTACCTTCCTTCTGTCCCCTCCAGTCCGAAACCAATTACCAAAAAAAACACCAATATAAGAAGGAGAATAGGCAAACCTACTAGTTGTTCTCGCCTCCGACAACGTCATTTCGAACGTCGGCGCTTCCTATTCCGTCTCCGACGTTCCCCTACCTCGCCATTTCCCTCTGTCCGTTCATCGTCGCCTTCGCCGACGGCGGTGGTGATTTTCTTTCTGCCAATCCAGACCCAAACCCCCCGAAATGTACAAATCAAAAGCGGTTAGAACCCTAAAAATCCTCAAAATCAACAAATAAAATGAAAGAAATAACATGCAAGCAAAAACTTATCTGGATCGACATTTCTCTAGACCATTGAAGTTGAGTCAGGTCGTCTTTTCTCGCCGTCGTTGTTGTTACGGGCTTACGGCCATAGGCGGTCTGCGATTGGCTTTTAGGTTCTCGTTTTCTGGAAGCAGAGGCGAGAAATATAAGGATCGAGGAAGAGGAGAAGAGAAGGTGTTTTGAAGAGAGGCTGAGAGGGAGATTGGAGCATGTTTCTTTTCTTCTGCTCGAGAGGTAGGAAAGATGGAGGAAGAGATTGAGCGAGCGAGAGGGAAATGGAGAAGGGGGTGTTTGGGTTTGAATCGTTCTATTCGTTTTTTCTGTTTGAGCACCAGAGCAAAAGAACGAGAGAGAGATTGGGAGAGGCGGCTGGTCCCCTGCTGGAACCTGGAATGCGTTAAAGTGGTTCCTAAGTAACCATGGTAGCTACCAACATCTACACCCTTAATTTTATCTATTTAATTTTATTTTCAATTTGACGGTAAAAATTATATGAAGGATAATTTTGGAAACGTAAATAATACCAAACATAATTACTATTCTTTAAAAAGTCATTTTTATATATTGTACCGCAAACCCTAATGCAACCGCCTCCTCCCTCTCCTGCCATTCTGCTTGCCTGCGACCCTTCTTCTCCGGACCAGAAACTGCAGCCGCCTCCTCCCTCTTCTCCCCTCCCGCTCGGGGCAGCCCTTCTTCTTGAGACCAAAATATTCAGTCCGACGTTAGTAGTCACGTCCTTCAGCAGCAGTCTGTTCTGAGATAGCGACTCCTTGATCCGCTGCAGCAGCGATACGGCGCCATCTCTAGCCATAGCGAAAATCGACGACATAGAGAGTCAAATCCCCGCCGCCGTCGTTGTCGATGTGAACGGTGCGAGAACTGGCCTTGTCGGCCTTGTCGGTGACGTTGCCCATGGTTTGTGTGTGTTCTGCGCGTTGGTCAGGGAAAGGTATTGGTTTATTTTTACGAATTTGATTCCATCAAACCCTCTAATGGTATTGCTTCATCTTTTAAATGGTATTGGTATCTTTTTGAAATGGTATTGATTTGCTTTCATAGTGGTAGTGGTTTATTTTGGTACTGTTCTGATTCATGTAATGGTATAGATTGTTTATATTGGTAGTTTTGGTGTTTATCGAAGTGGTAGTGGTTGCCTAATGGATTAGTAGTGATTTCTTATTTTTTTCCCTATAATGTTATTGGTGTTTTTCGAAGTGGTAGTGGTTGCCTAATGGATTGGTAGTGATTTCTTGTTTTTTTCTATAATGGTATTGGTGTTTTTCAAAGTGGTAGTGATTGCCTAATGGATTGGTAGTGATTTCTTGTTTTTTCTATAATGGTACCGGTGTTTTTCGAAGTGATTGTGGTTGTCTATGGATTGGTAGTGATTTCTTGTTTTTTTTGCGTGCAGAAAGATTGAGAAAAATAAGGAAAGGAGATATGGCTGGAGATTATGGAAGTGAGAGAAAAAAAAGATAATTGTAATTAATAGATTTTTTAACTGCCTAAAATGTAATTTATTAAAAAAATTAATTAATACAATTTATTTTTCAATACCCAATTTACCCTTAATAACCATGGTGATTACTACTTTGGAGTAATCACCATAACCCCTCCCCTGCTCTGCTTAACAAAGCGATTAGGGTTTTCCATTTATATAGTCGTTTTAGCCGATTGACAAAAATTCCCCTCATCATCCTCCGTTATAATGCAAAAAAAAATATCCCTAGGGGACTAATAACACACTGTAAACCACTAGGCTTGTCACCTACCAATTGTTGAATTATTAATCTCAATTCTTTTTATACTATATAACCTTAATACGTAAGTTAAGTGAGATAATTTACTTAGTCAATCTCGAGGAATGTTTTCTAACGTCAATAAACTTCTAATATTGAATTCTATAAGAATAATAACTAACTTTATTTGAAATCATTATCAAAATATGTATTTCTTTTCTAAAAATTCTTAATACGAAATGTCATGGTTAATAGACCGTGATAGTATTTGCATTTTAAGTCTCTTTTAAAGGTATTAACCATTCAAATTAAATTTTCGTAGGATAAAATTTTCTCTATCCTATAAAATATCAAACCTTAAACACTTGTCAACCAGTTTTCCTTCTCACCAAACCTTTTCTAAAAGAAATGAACTACGTGGACTTTGATCCCGACTACTAGGGTATGTAGGCAACCAATAGGTTTCAAGTCCGACTAACAAATTTTCTCCACATTCCTAATGTTTGAGACTCAACATTTTAAAACTTCAACATGATCGAACTACGTGGACTTTGATCCCGACTACTCGGGTACGTAGGCAACCAATAGGTTCGAGTCCAACTAATCAACAACTCTTTCTTTAATTTTGATAATTAAGTCAATAGGCGTATGATCAAATTGTATAAATACCTAAATATTCAAATTTCATAATTAAATACGTAAATAAGGCACAAATAATAATACACTCAATCCTTAAAACTTATCGATTTAAGTGGTACAAATTTTGGGCGTTGTGGGGTGTGAATACACTTCCCCACACGTAACCGTACTCCCGAACCCAAAACTCTAAATTTCGCAGACCAAATCCCGGTTCCGACCCTATGGTCGAGACCGAACCAAATGGTGTTCGATCCACCACAACTAAGATCGATGGCGACTCCGAATAAATCGGGACGGGTACTCCAATTTCGAGGGGCAGTTGCGATACGGGGTTATAAGTATTGCTATACGGGTTGTTGACACTAGCATTTGCCACGAAATTAACTTGCTCCTCCAGAGTGGTTGCCTCCTTCATTGCTTGACACTCCGCTATTTCATGACTGGTGCTCGAGCACCACTCACACGACATCACCGGCCTTTTTCCTTGCCTCTTATCTTCAAGCATAACCTCAAGCAACTTATCCAACTTCGCCTCAAGTGGAGCACTCGCTCCCACGCTTCTCACTATCCTATCATTGCCTCTTCTTCCACTTCTAGTCAACCCCCAATCGTATCCCCTAAGGGCCATGTCTTCAAGTATCTCGGTTATTTGGGGTGGAGCCATGTTCATCAATTTTCCTTGACACAACGAGTCAATGAGGATTTTATCTTCTTGCATTAGGCCTCCGTAGAAGGTTTCGATCTGGAAATATTTTCAAACCCGTGGTGAGGGCACTGAAGAAAGTAATCGGAGTACCTTTCCCAAGCATCCCTCAAGGTCTCGTCCTCATCTTGCTCAAAATGTGCAATCTTCTTTCTCCACTTCGTTGCCTTCGATGGCGGGCAATAACGAGCCATAAACTTGTTGAGCAGGTATTCCCATGAGGTGATAGACCGAGGTGGGCGGTTGTTCAGCCACCTAAGTTCCTTCCCTCGAGAGTGAGTAAGGGAAAAGCCTTAGTCGCAAAGCTTCGGCCGGCACACCATTAATTTTCAAATTCCCCGCGATCTCCAAGAATCTCTGCACGTGCTCTCTTGGTGACTCGCTCTCAAGGCCGTGGAAAAGAGCATTACTTTGTATCATAGTCACTAGAGCCGGCTTGATCTCGAAATTGTTTGCCGCCACTAGAGGATGTAGGATTGGCGATTGGATGTCCGCCGGCCTTGGAGACATATAGTACCCCCATAGTCCTTGAGGAATCCCCTTCCTCCGCCGCATCGTTCAAATGGCAGGCTTGAGCACCATCATGCCTTTGGTACCCCGCCATTTCCACTTCGATGACGGGTTCAACTTCCACTTCTTCGACTACTTCTCCACTAACACCAGGACCCAAACGTTGTCCCCCTCTTTCACTTCTTCTCTTTGCCTCCGCTAGCTCCCTCTCTCGTGCTAGGAGCCGGAGAGTTCAGTTAATGTCCTCGTCAAGCGGTAGCAAAGGTGGCGAGTTACTCCGGGTCATGCACCACCTACACACAATAGAAAAATACACCAAGTCTAGCACAAGCAAAGCACACACACTTGTAAAACTAGAAATTAAAAGATAGATTAACAACCAACAACTTTATCCAAATAACAGACCGTCGTCCTTGGCAACGGCGCCAAAAAGTTGACTCTCACGAAACTACACCACAATAAGGCCCCAACTAGAGCCCAAATTTTTAAACTCTAGTCGGGTGCAGTATAGGGCATGTATTTAGATATCGACCCGGGTCGGTCCATCTGCCCCTACTTCGGTTGTTGAAATCATTATCTAGCAACAAAATT